CCCCTCCACCACTGCCGCCAGGTGTTTCTGCTGGCCCTGACAGGGCAGGGTACAGACAATTAGTCATACTGCCAACATATACCAGGGAATCCTTGCGTTTTGTACAAGACAGCAAATCGGCTCTATTCCCAACTGATAAATGATGAATATATAAAATAGCACTTATCGTCATTTGAATATAACTGAACAGTAAGACGATTTATATTGACATTATATCATTTTTACAGTTTTCTACTGATAGGCAATCGAGAAATGTACCTGCAGCTTCCCTCATAGCCTTCTTTATGGGTCCGGATTGTGGCATCGGCTCCTTTTTCAACTCTGTTAAAAACGATACAATTGGTTTAAGATTTTAACATTGTGTGAACATGTTCATCATCAAATAATTGCTGGACTGTTTTCATGTCTTTGTCGTCACAGCTGCCATGGTTACCCAACTCACCTTGTCTTTTATCTTCGGAGATATGAAGGTTTAACCGAAAGAAGTGTCTTTGAATACTTCAAATACATCAGAGTTTGTAATCCTATGTAGGATGCGTATTGAAAGGTGGACTTAAATTGTATCTAATTCTAATCAATGGCAAGTGTCATGAGCAAATGCCTGTCTTACTAAAAATGAATCAATAAATGTCATTAACAGTTCATACCAGGGTATTTTTGTTTGAGTCCGTCCAGAACCCCATCCAGGCCCATATCAGATAGAGCCTCCATCACCACTCCCATAGTCGCCTCGTCTCCCTTCCGCCGTTGCCACTCCCCCAGGAGGTCCCTGCATCGAGACGCGTCATCGGGGTTTCTGCCCTTGATGTTTTTGATTGCTGGGGGGTCAAAGCCAAGAAATCCGGCCAGATCCTCCCATTCATCGCAGACTTGCTGCTTGATGTAGTAGAAGTACTTAAATGGAATGCCTAGAAAGAAAAAGAAGAAAAGGAACGGAAATTCCCAATATATTAATTTAAAACCGGCACTCATGTTGATTTCAAGGTCATAATGCTAATAAGTCAAGAGGAGGTATCGAAAGCACTGTAATAGTAAATAGGACATGAATGTGTACCAATGTTTCTGTTTGACCCACATGTACGACTGGCACCAGAAAGGTCGACATAGAATATGCCACATTTCAATTTATTTGCCAGTATATTTTATGTACTTAGTTATAACGGATAATGTAGGTTTTATAATAAATTTAGCGTCTCTGTAATTTTACAATGCATGTTGTATGTAGGGCGCAATTTGGGGGGCTAACCTGGCCCACGAGTTCCTTCAACTTGAAAGTACACTATCTTTCCCCCTCGTACCTGAATGATAAAGGCATAATAAGCCTGACTGCTTGAGTATATGTTAATTTTGTAATTGTTTTAGCATCATTGTCTCACCTCGGTCAGACATCCTTCACCTGTTCTTGTTCAGTGTGGGCTACTTGGTGAATGCAAATGCTCACAGCTCACTAGCTGTTCAGAGAGAAAGTTGAATATTATATTACACAATGTTCCAATCATAAAAGATTTCCTCCTATCAACATCATTTCTTACCAATGTAAAACCCTGCACCACGGTTTATTGCACTCATTAATCTCTTTTGTATTGATCTAATTTTGGCTTGTTAAAGAATTTCCTATATTGTTTTAATTTCACACTCTATTATGAGCATACTATGTAATATGTATGTAGGGCTGACGAGTACCGGTATAAGATACACGCTGCCGACCGTTGCTGTTCATGTGTCGGGGCAAGTCAACTCACATACTTGTATGTCATGTCCTGGCTTCATATCTATGTGCTCAGGTACAGATCAATACAACAGGAAAACAAATGACTCAGATAGCAGGGTAGCACGTGTTTTCTCTACATGGTAATCACTACACACTTTACTTCATGGAATTGTGTCAGGCCTACTAAGCGTCTGTCTACTACTGTCACTGCCAACGCTGTAGGTGGTTTACAGTTCCATCGATAGGAAAACAGGGCCTATATTAATGGATGTGTGTTGGATCCTAGTGTCCACGTGGCAACTTGCATTGGGTACTTGAATTGATATTGTCTAACAAAGTAAGTCCACTTTGTGTAAGTAGACTTTGAAGTCATTCCTAGCCAAAAGAGGGAGTCACGAGGTAAACTCTCGTTTCTCTGTCGATAACAAGATTGTCAAAAGTACCGACAATGATTTAGACATACCTTAATTTGAAAACAACGGCGATCTCTAACTTACCATGTGCAGTTTTCTCCTAGTTACACGTCTTCATTTCTAAAGATCGCCACACCTTTCAAAGACTGTCAATGATCCAAGTCGAGAAGTCACATTTCTACTTTCACTGCACATGCGCTCTAAAAGGGCGGTAAATTTTTCACCTGTACTGTAAACAGAGGACAGTAATGGGGGTTTATCATGATACCTATAACGTTAGTAACATAAGCGTCGACATTTTCACAGGAAGGTTTTCGTGTTTCTATAACAAGGGGAGCCTCCAAAGCATGCCAAAAACTGGGGGTTTTGGGGATCTGCAGGGTCTTTTATGTACTTTTTTCTGATTGCACATAGACAACATAGCCGGCCTGGTTGAATTACCCCCGTTTTTCGAACTGGGCTAATCAGAAAACGGCCGAAGACCACCAAACCCCCAGTTATATAAGCCTGCTACGGAGGCTAAACAAGGGGTTGTTTTTTGTTACATTTCATAACACAGTTTGCAAAGATTTAGTGATGCTTCGTACTGCTAAAATGCCAGTTACGGTTAACTGGTTCCCTTCTTACAGACCCATAATACAGGCAGACCGCCACCCATTCAGACCGAACAAAGGTGTTAGTACCTTGTCGCCAGGTAAACAGTGGTAGTGACCTGGTCATGAAACCGAAGCGCGGGTAAACTATGTAATTAGTCTTCTATTCAAGACACTTAATCCCTATATAAAAGCGTGTTTTACCTAGTTCACTGTCGGTCGTCTGGCCATAGACACATTACGGAGAACAATCCAGCACCGCACTGTTCCTACGGTGATGTCCGGGTAAAAGGAGTTTAAGTGCGCTGAAGAAGGTGACACAGAGCGCAAAATTGCAAGACAGAGATGTCGTACTTACCAGGATATACGAAGACACGCCTTGTTTTCAGTTCGAAGCCTTGCTCTCCTCTAACCAGACTGTCTTACTTTCACATTACATGCGCACTAAATCAGAAGGTTGTTTTTCACCTGTAGACCGGAGGCTGTGAAAGAGGCTTTTGTGTTACCTACCCTGACACAAAACGCAAGAACGCTGAAGACTTAACAAGTAATGATTTAAGTACTTTCATGCACTGCAGACACAATGTAGCCACTAGGGCCGAAAGTTAAGTAAAAGGTTAATAATGTTTAACTGGCTCTCACCTTATACACCCATGAGACAGACTGGCCTGTCATCCATTCAGGTGGGATACATGCCCGCAGGTAGATAAACGTACAGAACTGGTTTGTTGTCATAGGGCAGATGAGCTGGGGGAGGGGGAGGGGGGCACCTGTAACGAACTTGACCTTACTTCGGTTAGGGACGTCCTCTCGCACGGAAGGTAAAACTGGAGGCCCAGTGTTTGAGGAGAGCCACTGTATGTTAAACAGATCCCATCACATCTATCGATAAAAGAGGGAGTCCGTCCCAATGTGCACGGGTCAAAAGATTAGTTTGTTGCTACTTGGGCAGCCTTGATTGCGTGTCAATCGAACCAATACATAAATAATACATGCGGTGCCATCGCGGATTAAAAAAAAGGTTAGTGTGGACTTGTCATCCTTTGACGATGCATATGTAATGCCACTAAACGTAAAAAGATCTCATCATGATTAGGATAGGTTCTAAAAACTCATCGAACGTGTCGAATACGATTGCAACTGAACTTGCTAGTTATGGGGTGGATTGATAGATTGACTTATTGATTTTGAACTTGTCAACGCGCTATTTTCTGTCTTTCTGGCAAAGAGAGCTATTCATGCATGGCTGAGGGTCACGTAAATACGAAAACAAGCATAAAGGCTCATCTATATGTTACATTATATCATACATAGTCTCGAAACAACACACTGGAGTTCAGCACCATGTTGGGAAGCTACATCAGATGTTCTGAAGAGAAAACACATTATCAATTTTGGCACCAAACGTTAAATGGAAATCCCCTTTTCTACCTACGATAGAGATGTTTTCTGTGAATAACCAAAACCACGGAGACTCGTCAGTATAGTGCAAACAGCGACTTTATTCATCCATATCATAATATATTGGCACACCTTGCTCTCTATAGCTACATTTCTGTAAAAATCAAAACATGTATAAACTTACACCATTGTCCATTAATGAAGATTACATGTTTTTTCTGGGTCCGAATCTTAATGAGTTGAGTCTTGAATTGAAACCAAACTGAAGTGAAGCTTGGGTAAACCATAAACAATCACTTATCACAGCAATGCAAACAAATAAACAAACCTGATCTCTAACATGGATGTCAGCCATGGGTAATCATATTTACAAATAATGGATGATAATATAATAATACAAATTAATGGTCAGAGGCTGCTATGACATGGGTGCCACCACAGGAAGAGAGGCTGAAACATGACCTTCCTAGAGGACTTGAAAAGAGCGAGCATCCATTGGAAAGAGTCAGAGGGCGGTGGCTGATAGAATTGGATTGAAACTTGCTGCCTAAAGTGATTGTGGGCATATGAGGACCTATGGTAAGGAGTGGTGGGCGAATTTCATCTACCTCCATAACTGACGCCCTATCCAAAAATCTGATGTTTTAAAGGCCAAATATCTCCAGAAACTTGCTGTGAGACTCCTCCCAGTACTTTGAGCCCAGAAGTCTCTCCTTCAACCTTCTTGCAGCTTCAAACTCTTTCTCCCCTCTGTTCAGGACCTTGATGATCCGCTTGGCCAGCGTCTGGACGGCTTCTTCTTCATCATCATCGTCTCCGATCTCTACGATTGGACGGTCGAAGTCGGGGTCTTGGTCTAAGAACCAGGCAAGGCCAGACTTGTCGGAAACCAGGACGGGTACCCCTGCAGCGATAGCCTCCAGACCAACCAGTCCGAATGGCTCTGCACGAGACGGCATCAGAACGACGTGCGCTTGCTGCATGTCTTTGCTCAGCTCTTCCTGGGTGGCGTACTTGAGGGGGGTGAAGGGTACGAAGTTGAACTTTCCGGCGTTGGCTTGAATGATCTCCTTGCTCTCTGAGAAATCATCACGCGTGATGCCGCGGACTCGCCATTTGGTGTTAGGCCGAATCTTGAACACCTTGCCCATGGACTTCGAGGACAGATCGTAGCCTTTCAGCCTCTCCACGCCCTTGACCCTGCCGATGGACAGCACCACTTTCATGTTTGTTTTGCGGTATTTAACTTGTGTGTTCTTGAAGATCTCAGACGGCTCAGGTAGAAACTCTTGAAGACGTTCCTCCTCTCCTGTCTCATTTTTGTAGTAGTCATACATGCGTGGGCCCACGGCGACTATCACATCAGCATGGTCAAGGTCATCAAGGATAGCGGCCTTTTCCTCTTCAATGCTTAACTCTTTCTCTTCACTCTTGAAGCGTGCGACATCTTCTGGGATCACGTGAGTGACTTGGACGACTTTGGCGTTAGGAAAGCGCTGCTCCTTGATGTGCCTTGCCGCGCGGCTTGTGATGTGGACATGGCCGAGGATGAAGTCTACATCTGAGGGGAGGTCAGGATAACGACTCCTGTGATCAAAGGTCAGCCACCTGAGCTCTGGCTGTCTCGGGTCACCCTTGGAGGTTGTTGGGAAGATCAGCTCTACCCCATCAGCCTCCGCATCGTCCATGTCCCCTTTTGTGGCTTCCAGGACGGTGCTGTAGACCTTTGCTCCCTTAGAAATCAGTAGGCACGCCATCCCGCGGTGGATGGTGGAGATACCGCCCTTACTGGTCCCGTACTCGTCATTGAGCATCAGCACCACAATCTTCCCTCCAGACCCTTGTGATAATCAAGGGCAAAGAAATGATCAGAAACAAATTCTTGTCAATCAAAAATGACAGAATTACTTGCATTTTCCGAAGTCAAACTAAATGCATTCCACTGGACTTGTTTTGTACTTGTAACGTGGCAACACCGTTGTGATTTATAATGATCAGCACTTATCTCATGGTATCATAACTAGTGGCGAATGTAGAATGTTAGGCAACACCATATCGACGTTTTTTTTCTACAGGTATTTTTGTCTTATGACGAACAAGATTCACCAGGAAGTAACGGCGCGGTCATATTCGCCATATGTAGGCCATCGTACATTTTTCATGTAGCAGTGCTTTCAAGCAGGCTACGACAGAACTAGGCCTAGGCGTCCACAAGGATCTAAGACAGCCTTTTCTGTAGCAAGACAGCTGGATTTTGTGGGACATAGGCACTGCATACCAAGAGTGCTCTTACGAGGAATATGACCGTAACAAACCTCAGGATTGGGTACACTAGTGGCCCACACACAGGTGAATTGTTAGACTTGGGGATTTGGCGACAACAATACAAACAAAGGTAATGAGAAGGATATGGAAAATAACTTTGGACGAAAACAAGGTGGAATCCTTACCTGCCATGAGGGTTATTTTTCGTAGTTGAACACAGGATGTAGCAGGGTGGCACGCCTCTGGCAGACTGACTGGGATCAAAGTGCAGCCTAACTACTTTCACTGCACATGCGCTCTACCGTGAGGGATTGGGTTTCACCTGTATACAGGTGAGAACAATAGAGGCTACCGCAACACCTGGAGCAACTTTGGCCTCGAAAAACTACGGCGTACGAAGCTTCAAACGGACAAAATATGGTCGTGATTTGATGAGTTACGAGTACATGTATGAGTTACTCTTGACTGCATCTTAGACAAGTGACTAAGGGTGTGGATCGGTTAAAAGCTAGTTATTTTGTCCCCCTCCTAGCCCCCACCCCAGACACACACATAACAGACTGGCACGGTATCTCATCGGGTGGATTAAAGGTCAAAGATACCCGCAGGCAGGTAAACAATGCTTGTGGACCGGCCTTGGAGTTAACGGTAGGGGCTTGGGTACACTTTTTACAGCTATGCAGCACTCTCCTGTTTTTACCTCCATGAAAAATGGAGGTATTGTTTTTGGCGTGTCTGTCTGTATGTATGTATGTATGTATGTGTGTGTGTCTGTGTGTCTGTCTGTCTGTCTGTCTGTGTTTCCGCAACTTTGTGGTCAGCATAACTTCAGAACGCCTTTATGGATTATGATGATATTTGGTATGCTGGTAAGTCTTAGGAAGACAAACGTCAAGGTCAAATATGGGCCTCCTGGTGGATGACCTTGGTACTGCAGCAGAACTTCCGGTTTTTGTATCTTTTGTCCTGAACATGCTATGGTCTTGATGTTTTGGTGACAGATTGCTTTTCCTGTCAGGAATAAGTGGTGTGAGTTTGGTCCCCCTAGCAGCTTGTTTTGGAACTGCAGGGCACTTTCTGGCGAAATGTTTAAAAGCCAATAAGTCCAGATAGGAACAACATATTTTCATAATTTTTGGTGTGTAAGTAGCTAAGAGAGAGATGTACATGATTAAATGCAAATTATGCAAATGAGGACTTTATTTGCATAATTAATGAGGAAATTCTATGATTACAGTGTTTTACATTATAGTACTTTCATACATGTAATGTATGTAACCTATGGCAGGCAGAACATCAACAGATACTAATTATGCAAATGATGACCTAATTTGCATAATTTATACAAAAATTCTATGATTTCTTAATGGTGAATAATGGGAATGTCATACTTTGTACATCTGTAAGTTAATCAAAAGTTAACATACATCACGATGCATATATCATGTTAATGCGGAGGTAATTTGCATAATTAAAGAGGAAATTTACATTTACATATCAAGCCCATATTTCATGGAGGTATGAAATCTCGGAATTCTTGTTGAAAGATTTGTAATACTACTTTTTACCTTAGCTGCCCAAGACTTTATCATGATCATCTTCTGTAATATGGTTTTCATTAGTTGGTGTAACGAAGATAATGTTACAAAATGAGCTGAGAAAGGGACTATGGGGTAGTTCAGTAAACTATAGGGTTGTTTTAAACTGGGATTGGGAACAGGGCATGAAGTACTGTACTTGATGAGTATCCAAATACTCGTTATATTAGCTATATCCATTTCTGCTTGTAGCCAGCAATGTTTTACGAATAAAAATATTCCAGCGAATGCCTGAAAACCAGGAACACGCCTACTACTAGTTACAACCCCACTGTTACAACCCCGTGCAGGCTGACAGCTATGCTACACGCCGGCCCCAGCAGAAAATGGACCTGTGCTTGGTGCTGATAGACGTTCAGACAGTTTTTGAGCACCTTCTTCACTTGTTAGGGTTTAAACTAGACGCTGTAATGACTAGTACTGTACTAGTAATTACCATGTAGTCAGAAGACATCAACCAATCAGACGTTCCCATGTCATTGTTCAATCGGTGATTATAAGAAATGTCCAGGACTTGTGACAGCATATACACCTCGGGGTGGATCATTAACTCTTGAATGATACCATAGCAACACTGTAGGGCACAGGCAACTTTCTTTCCAAGAAGCAGTTTCATATTCGCAGAAAAATTTATTGTTTATTAAAGGATCCACAGCCTTCATGCAGAATTCATGTGAAGTGCACAGCTAACGACTTTTGCCTGCCACCTGTCTTTACTGGATTCCTACAGTTGTAAAGTGAAGCATTGGCGTTAGTTAGAAGGAGTTTTAGTGTATCGCCATGTGTAATTGTTCAACTTTATGCAACATATGGCCTAGTTCAAAAACTATCAGTACAGCGTCTAGTTTAAACCGTAAAAAGTGGACCCGAAAAAGGCGCTCAAAAACTGTCTGAATGTCGATCAGCACCAAGGACGGGTCCATTTTCTGCTGGAGCCGACGTATAGCATAGCTGTCAGGTTGTACGGGGCTGGAAGCAGTAACAAGCATGTTCCTGGTCTGTCGACATTCGCTAGAATATTTTCGTTCTTAAAACACTTCTGGCAACCACCAGAAATTTGGATTAGCTAATTATATTTATTCAGTTACATGTATTCACTTATATAACGTGACAGTATTTGGATGATCAGGTACATGATGTGGTCAAAGGGCATTCATGTCGCCGCCATCTCTGATTGTTTTGAAAAGGGAAGTTCTGATGAGGCCAATAGTAACATTTTCCTCAGAAGTATGGTTTATGGTCGGCGTGGACTTAAACATTTAGCGAGGTATTTCTAAACATTCATTGTGTGAGGCGTAGTGTTTCACCTTGCTCAGTATACGTACTCCCAAACTTTTCTTCTCCATAAATAGAGGGACACGCACCGCAAACATACTTAAGACAGAACGTTATGATTTGATAAATACTGGTCTCCCTTCTTCCATGTTTGTCGCTGACATAGAGGAATCCAGGAGGGATGATAATTATGCTGACTGAACGGTGAGTGAATTGTTCTTTTTATCGTTGTTTGTGTGTCTAACGTTACATAGCACAGACTTGAATAATCTCAATAATACGAGTCTCTTTCAGAAGACCGTGTATTTTGAACCATGAATTTCGGCTAGTTTCAGTTTATTTCAAGATCCACAAATTGCTTGCGATGATTAGCAAGCTTTTCCTCCAGTAGTCAGGAAAGTACAGCAGGGCGGCAGTTAGACAGATCAGGATGCACGGCGGTCTGTCACTACGGCATTCTTTCCCATTGCTATGCGCGTTCGAAAAGGTATCGGGTTACAAGACGCTATTTTGGCCTGTTTTGGACTACCCGTAAAATATTTGAAAATAAACAAATAATATTTAGGCGTAAATTTCGTCAAATTAAAATGAAACTATCGTCTTAACATCCTTTAAATGTTAACTTTTTGTGTTAAATCACTGATTTTTTAAAATTTCGCCCAGAAAGACGATTATTTTCGGATTTCTCGGCACAAGTCATGTCACGTTTTTAGGCAAACATCGTTCAAACCTGGCTACGCATATTGCACCAGATCCCCGATTTTTATATTTTTCGCAGAGTAGGAATAAGATAAGAAATCGTGTTTTAGGGATTTTTTAATTTCTGATTTTAAGTCTAGTTTTTGTCGACATATTGGTGAAAAAATGGCATTTTTTTACATTTTTCTCACTAAATTACCCATAATTCAAAATTGAGGCCATTTTTCAAAAATCCCTAAAACACGATTTTCGGGACAGCCATTACAGTCATTTTGAGCCGTAAATGGGGTATGTTTGACTCTCCATGTTTCCAGGTTTGAACGAGTTTTGGAGACATGTCATATCGCCAGAAAGTGTGCATTGTGTTATTCATTCTGGCGTAAAGAATCATTACAGTATTCAAGGTCACTCAAGGATACGACAGTAGCTTCGCTACATGTTACATGTCCACCAAAAAAATAGCGAACATGTACTGTCCAGGAAACTGTTTATATCTATAGAAAAGTGTTGTTTTTTATCTGTTGCAATGCACGGAGGCAGAAAGGCTTGTTTTGCCGCTTTATTGCAAATGACCGCAGGTGACCCCGAAATAGAACGCGGGTTCGATTCGAATTGCCCAGATCGAACACGATCGAACACAGTTCGGGTTCTATGACATATGGGAACTTTGCAGCCCAGATTTTACCACCGTGATGGTGGTGTGAGTAGCAGAGTTAGGCACATTGTGTTTGCCTGTGCCAGAAGAGTTGTGTGTGGAGTTAGGCAAAGCTGCAGGAGAAGGTTCTTCAGCACCATGGAAGGTACCAAAGCTATGTGTGCAGCAGTTAGGCAATGTGCTGTATAGTACTAGTACTATGTAATGCTACATGTATGTACAGGAGTTAGGTGAATGTACAGGTTTTTGTACATGTCTGTAGAGGCATTAGATAAACTATAGTGTAGTTCTGCAAAAGTTAGGTACTATCCTGTACTATACAGGTATATTTAAAATTATTCTTTGTTCAGAAATAAGAAAAAGACAAAGAGCCCAGGTCACGTCGGCCATAACTGACCGAACGTGCAGGGAAACATTAGACACATAGCACTGCAATACAATTTACATCATCAAGACATGTAATATTGCAAAGTTTTGATTAATTGGTATTGATATTTGAGAGGTCAATGGCCTCCTGTATGCTGTCTGTTGTGTGCTTCAGTATGGAATTATGTCGGAATGTGTACCATCCTTGCTGGAGAGAGACACTGCAGTGATTCAGGATGTGGTGAAGTATTTCCTGGTTCCCACATAGTTTGCATCTGTTACTGCTGCGTTTTCCCCAAGTCGCCAGGTTGCAGAATATAGGCAAGCACGCACCGCGAAATTTTTTTTTGCCAAGTTGTATATTATAGACGGCCATGTACGGTCACACCGCCATGTAAGGTTGTCAGCAGTGTCCTTGTTGTAGTAAGCTTTTCGGTCCAGGCGCCATGACGCATGTTTGCCACATGTTGTTTAATGTGTTTAGTATACGTACTGAAGACCAGTCTCAGTCTTTCGCCGTATGGGTGACTTGTTGATGGACGTTGTGGCCGGTTTTAATACCCCATTTCTGCATGGACTTGCATTTACACGATAAGTTCATTGACTTAGTTTGGGTGATTAGTTTCTGATGTTGTCTCTTGTTGGTGGTTATATTTAAGGCAGAAGTAGTCTGCGAAAGTCAGTGTGATGTACTGCTTGCCATTGAGGCTGTGTTGTTGCTCTAGTCCCTTTAGGTGTTGTAGTATAGACAAGGACACTATTCTTAGGTTATAATATGTACATTAGTTAGGCATATGTATGTGTAGGAGTTAGGTTACATATATTTGCTGGAGTTAGGTACATGTCATGTTAGGTGCAGGAGTACTGTAGACTGTTATTGTGCATACAGCAGGTACATGTATGTATGTACAGGAGTTAGGCATATGTAACATTATGTGCAGGAGTTAGGCACATGTATGTAAATGCACTAGGTATGTTATAATGTAGTTTTGTCTACAAGAATTGGATGATTTAAAGAGTCAATACACAACATTGATTACTGACCAACTCAAATTGACCCAAATGTTTTTCAAAGTTTTTCTTATACCTCATTTGAAATTGATGAAGTTATGCAGTTAGTCCCACATACAAAGTGCTAAGAAATATATCTTTTACTCAGGCTGACTGATGTAATACGGTAATTTTCACCTGCCACCAAACAATACAAGACCTTTAATGATGTCTGTAGACCAATAAACTGACTTGGACTGGCCCATTTTGAACATTTATGGTTTTTGATAGATGCAGCTGATGTCAAAATATGCTTGATGAAAATCCAATACTCTATTATAACAAACAAACCACGTGTAATCCAGGGATGTGGACCCAATCAAACTCACATCCCTGTGGGGGAAATAAAAGCCACAGTGTGCAAAAATCAGTCTGAGGTTTCACACTGGACCCATCAATCAGAAGGGTGGCTGTGTTGATTGACTGATAGATTGATTTATGTTGCAATTGTTGCCTGAAGGTAAGAACAATGACAGCAAAGTAAGATGTTGATAATTGTTTTTGAATTATGCTCTCATCCATGTAGTTTAGCTTCGAGGGAAAACTAAAAATTATAGTTGAAGTGGCTGAAGCACAAGAATCTGGATCAGTTACCATTCAGTGCTTAGACTCAGGTGATCTCAGTATAACAGTAACAGCCCCCTGCGCAGCTGCAGGGCTGTAAGGTTTTATGTAACTCACACAGGGATGCCCTAATGTTATTTTCCAGATAAACAGCCCTGCCAATTGGACGTCGCATATTCCAAATCACCGCTTCTATAGAATCACCGTCTCCTTAAAGACCCACATCTTTCACAAATAACACTGATCTTCAGCACATCCTGACCATGTCTTAAGAAGTGTAATGTCTTATTGTTGGCTGTGAGATGTTAAATGGCTGCCCTGTCCCCCGGCTGGCGCCAGGAGGAGTCTAGGTACGATGATGGGTGAGGACACTTTAGATAACAGCTACCTGCAGACACCTTACATCCCTCACCTACATGTATAGACACCTAGCTTTATATTCCTCACCTACAGAGTCAGATTACATCCCTCCCAGGTTGGCAGCACTGATGGCGTCATATTTGTCTCGTTTTTGTAAGGGTAGAGGTTGTAAAGGTTGAAATTATTTGGATTACTCTTGTTAAACTTTATTTTGTTCCGCAGCTTGACTTTTTTCCAATAGTTTTTAAATGTACTTGAGTGACTGTATCCATAATTTCATTGTGACATACATGTATACTCACCACTAGCCAAGAACATGTAGCAAACTTAGCAAACCTTCCAGTCCTGCTGTGAAACATGAAACTGGCCAGCTGTGGCCTGATGTAAGTTTTATTGTGCAATCTTGTGCAGAAGTGATCTGACAGGACCTGAGTGGTGCGGGATGACAACTAAAGAGAGATAAAGGGCGCGAATTGGACGTCCACTTTCCCTGGTTACTGAGTGCTGAACTGCTTGTCATTGCTGCACATGCCAAAGTGCTGGTCCTGTTTGACAGGTAAGAATCACTGCTGTCAGTGGGTGTCAATGTGCTGAAACTGTTTGACATGTAAGAATGAATGAGCAGCAGGGCTGTTGGTGTCGAGAAAGCCAAATGCTGCTTCCAAAAAGAAGGTGTGAAAAATTGTTGGATATAACATAACCTGCTGCTTCTGCTGTGGGTATAGGGACAATATGCATCATAGACTGTGTCATCAAAATCATAACATAATAAACATACACAAATGACTGAACAAATCTATGCCTATCGCCTCTCTTTTCATTTTCTCTTGTACTGAATACCAGCAAACTTGCAACTCCTATGGAAACAAAGAACTGCCTTTCTTCTGCCCACCCTTCTCTCCCACGCAATGACTATCAAGCAGGGCCGATTAAGACATTTTTATTGCCTCCTAACAGTCAAACAATCCTTCGCATCTTAAACATTCTCCCTTGTGCTCCTAAGACCCTGACAACCATCTTCAGCTTCATTAATAATACAGGACGATATTGACGGCGTTTTCACAGTAATAAAACTCTTTCTGGCTTACAACTTAACCTGGCCGGCTTGTTTTGTTGAGAGGTTTGGCTGTGTGGAATGTTTCCTGTAGCTGAAAATGGATGCACACTGAGATGTGGGAAGCTTGAATTGATGCTTGAAGTTACGCAGTGGTGGCACAGAGTTTGCAGTTATGGTAGTCAGGACATTTTTTACCCTCCATGGCAGTCTTTCACATGGCAACAGATTTGTGATTGTCCACTGATTCCTCACTGCTGTAATTCTCTGGAAGTTATAAGAGCTGAAGATTCATTCAATGAACAGTAAACTAATAGTGCCATTTGTCCTTAAAAGTCCAATATCCATGGTAATGGGACAGGATAATGGTGATGGCATTTTTGCAGCAGAAAAATGTATTTTGTGTCTGGCCGTAGCTACAAAAACGGAGAAGAGATGGATGTTTCTAAAGAACATATCACCTTGCATCACACTTGTTATGATGAGAATGATGGGTGAGACATTTTCCAGTAGTGAAAGTGATTTGAGTCATCCTGTTACTTTCCACTGCATCCATACAAGAGGATAACAGTTTTACACTTTCACTTTCCACCTCAACAAAATGAAACAGCTAAACATGTTTACTGTTCACTCTGTCACCACAAAATAAACGTTTTTACACTCATACCTTTCACTCTGTTCATAAAATGAATTAATGTTACACATTTTGACTGACGGCATTGTAACTCCTGACATTGAAACCTGAATGTGATACAATACAGAATGGAAGTTTGACAATTTGGTCACCATGGTTTTCCTGGTTGTTACATTATATGTAACTTGTGACTGTAAAAACTGTAAGCTGCACAATGTAGAATGGCAAAGTGATAGCTTTTGTGTTCTCCCTAGCTGTTAAACAAGCCTCACTCCCTGTGTGCGTACAACACAGCTTGGCAGAATGGTTGTTAGCCAAGTCGAACCTGTCATTGGTGCTGAACACTTTCCACATTAACAACACTATGCCTGTCCCTGGTGTTGAACACTCTCCACACTAACAACACTGTCCCTGTCCCTGGTGCTGAACACTTTCCACACTAACAACATTGTCCCTGTCCCTGACACTTTCCACACTAACAACACTGTCCCTGTCCCTGAACACTTTCCACATTAACAACACTATGCCTGTCCCTGGTGTTGAACACTCTCCACACTGACAACACTGTCCCTGTCCCTCGTTTCTGAACACTTTCCACACTAACAACACTGTCCCTGTCCCTGGTGCTGAACACTTGCCACACTAACAACACTGTCCCTGTCCCTGAACACTTTCCACATTAACAACACTATGCCTGTCCCTGGTGTTGTACACTCTCCACACTGACAACACTGTCCCTGTCCCTGGTTTCTGAACACTTTCCACACTAACAACACTGTCCCTGAACATTTCAACACTGCTGTACAGTTGTGTGTGTACCACTCAGGATGTAGGCAGTATGGATAATACTGAAAACTGGTCAGAAACCATTCACAAATTAAGTGAAACCAGTCAATACACCAATGAAAATCCACATACACCTATACATACCCAGTATATCAGCCTGTGCAGGTTAGGTGCAGGTAGACATCAGAAATACCTGCACAGCTCAAATTTTACCTGCACTAACCTGCTTATGCAGGTCGTATTTCCAGCCGAAATATTTTCTGACATGAATGGTTCACATATATGTTTTATAGTTGTGATGTGTTTAGGCAGGTGTTGAAATCATGTCAGTGTTGATGTCTTCTCCCTGAGCTGTTAAGTCTGTGCCAGGGCTCCTGATGAGGTGTGATGATCTATAGGTGTATAAAACACTGATGTACGCTTTGCTCCATCATAAAGGTTCAACTCACGCTTAATAGTCTGAAACACAGGGGGCTGAAGTAATGCTATTATTTGCTTCTTAAAGACTTTTAGCAATTCAAAACATTCTTTGTTTATGCATGGAATACTAGTACTTAAATCGGCCTGCTGGTCAATTTCTATTGAGAGAAGAGGTCAGGGTAAGATAATATAATATCAAAGATACAGGTTACATGATTGAAGTCATAACAAATCCATAAACATTTAGTCGTAATAAGTCCATAGACATATATCCTTACACATATTACTACAAAATCTGTAAAACAAACAGAACGTTGCCATACTTTCTGTCATTGAACCTGGTTGAGAGAAAACATCATTGCTCAATTCAAATTCCTGACTGTCTGGTTTGTTACTGGAACAGGTTGCTTTACAGGAGTCTGAGAAAATTCAGCCACGGCCTGATTAGATTTTCACTTGGAGGCCTGACCTGTTGTGAGAGGTTGACAGGATGAGTTGTTGGGCAGTGGGAGGGTGGTAGGGGGTTGTGAGGGGTGAGTTGTGAGGAGATTTATGCCTGCATGGTGGTGTATTCAGACAGGGTGGAGGGAAGGCAGGGTCGATGAGGGATGACACAGCAGGGAGATTTACATCCTGAGGTGTGGGAAGGGCGGGGTGTAGGGAAAATGAAAAACAGTGATTACAAAACCCCGTAGAGAGTGATTATGGCGTAGGAATGATTGTTGGAAACAATTAGAACAGGGTAAGGAATTATTATTTTGCAGACCAGTCATGGTAGACAATCAGAGTTCTACAGGACAATCCAAACTTTCACTGTTCAGTAGACAGTCCTTGGGACAAATGATTCTCTGTATTACACAGTCAGACTTAAACATGTGAACAAGATATGATTCAGGGTTTGACATCAGGGTACATACACAAGTATGCTACATGTTGTCAAAAGAATTTAAGTTTTTGTTAAATCATCTAATATCTGGCACAGAGGCTCCTTGAGGAAAAATGAGGTTTCCTATTCCAAAATTCCAAATATGGCATTTCTGAACTGTAGTTTCTTTACAGTCACTCATCATCTCAAGTGACAGCTCAAACACCTGATCTGTGTTAGCTATGTTATCCTACAAGTAACTGAGATTCATAGTATATGAAACACAGAAATTCAGATTCAACTTTATTTCTGAAAAAAAAAAAGAATTTCTAGGTTTGTATTCTAGTGCCACACTGATGAGAATTAGAATTAGAGTTAGAAACCTCCCAGGTTTAGCTGTGCTCCAATATAAATGTATTAACGTTATTGAATAATTACTGAAATACACGGTGGGCTGCTTAGCTTCAAATTTATGCTGCATTGAAGGAAGATCTACATTCATACCCAGTGAGGGAAATCATACATTGTACATAATTCTGCTTTTAATGAGAGTCGGTCTCTGTGCATGGGGATCCCTGCAGACAGGATTTTTATGGAAGAAAAGCCAAGTTTCCCTGTTAGTGACAAAGGTGCAGCTCAGCATATAAAATTCATGTATCATTACTTCATAAAATTTATTGCACAACAGTTGTACAATGTACGACTTATGGTATCATATACTGCTATATAACATACAAGACAAAACTAACCAATATTACAAAAGACTTCCCAGTATGTAGTATGGGAATGAAATGTGCTTTTACAATCAATGGTGGAATTTCTAGTGTTTAGGCATTTTTGAGATATTGCACTATATATACAAGACATTGATTGTACAATCTATTCTAATTTTTTTAAAATCCATTTTTAGCTCCAGTCTTTATACTTATAGCACTGAGGACGGCAACTAGCTGACTTACAAAATATTTGAAATCATTCTGAAGCAAAGTTGAAAAGTAATTTTGATAAAAGATACACATGATCCACTGCTTGCTGAGTCACATGTTCTATCTACATAACATGATTTTACAGAAGTGGTAGATTGTTCAAAGATTGGAGTTGGACAGTCAAGAATTGGTATTAATTTTCTGTTTGAAATTATACATCAACCTTGCTTCAAAATTACACTTGGAAGTGTAGGAAAGAAAGCCCCAGCATCCTACAACCTATTCTTGGATTCATGTCTCAAATCTCTCATACATGTACCTCCCAACTGATATCATAACTGATTCAGCAATTTAGACACAGTACTGTTTTCTGATACATTCAAGAAAATTTATTTCCAGAAGCAGTGGAGAGGATCATGTTCTATAAGTTCATTTCCATGCATTGTAATTTCTGCAGACTGTAGTCTATGTCATAAAAACCGAGTTCCCCCTTAATGACATAAGCACTGTACAGCTTGTAAAGCATAGCAACAGTAATGCTCAATCACTACAGACGCTGCATCTGAAGTGGTCCATAATGTAATCTTCTGTCACTCCTGGTCCCAACAGAGGTGTGGTGGAGTTCTCGTTATCTTGTTGTCGTTCCATCAGGCAGTAAACGGCCCTTCTGGGAGGGCTGGTGTCTTCTACACAATCAGTTCTGTACCCGACCTGCTGTCAGATCTCATTTGGTATGGTTTGGAGCTGGGATGACAGTGTACGTGCAGGAACTGTGAGGGAATCTTTGTTGCTGAAGTATATACATATCAGAAAAGTAGACAGATGAAACTTTGCACAAGAAGATGGAGAGGAAAACTAGAAGAGAAATTATGGAGAAAAAGAAGAGTAAAGAGATGTGGAGGAGATAGATGACTCTTCTCGCAAAATCTGGGTCAAAACTGTTATGAAGTTATGAACTGTTATTAGATTTAGGTGAGGTCAGTATATCTGTGGGTATATCTGTGGGTGGCTTAGGTGGGTAATGTGATCTGTGTGTGTATGTGCACAAATCAAGT